TTTTATGGTAGGAAAACCGATTTTTTGCAACATTTTTTCTATTATTACGTTTCCTTCTTATTTTTCGTCACGGAAAAATCTTTATTGTTTTATTTTTAGATCAATTTTGTCGGACATGCCATAATGGTGGTCTTAAAAAAACGAAAAAAAAAAACGCTTTTGTTATTTTGTGAGATTTTTCCGTGTTGTCTGCAGGGTAACGAACCTGAAATTAATGTCAATTTGTAGAATTTCTCGTACCAAAATTAATTTTTTAAAGCTTGTTAAACATAAGTATATTTCCTTCTTATTGTCCCTTATGAATAATCTTTATTGTGTTGTTTTTAGGCTAAATTCGAAACGTGCAGATCGATAAATTTCATATTATTGTCCGACGCCTCGGCATCTTTTCTACCACAGTGATGCAGAAATTTATTTTTGAGGAAAATTTTCAATATTGTAATTTTTTGAGATTTCTCCCTGTTGTCTACGATGTGATATACCTGAAATTTATGGGCGTTATCTATCATCCTGGTCTGCCTTTCTAAGCTAGGTTGATTTGTCAGACGCGTTTCGGCATTTCGCCATCTACAGTGTCAAAGTCAACAATCGAAAAAGTAGAGTAAAAAATATCTTCAGTGTGTTTTTGCGCAATTTTTTCACTGTCAAATCTGCAAATTGGTAGATTTTCTCGTACAAAAACCATTTTTTTACAACTATTTTCTTCATCATTATGTTTCCTTATATTTTCCCAATGGATAATCTTTATTGTGTTATTTGTAAATTTATTGGTAAAAAAAACTAAATTATTGCAACTATTTTTTGATTATTATGATTCCTTCTTATTTTCCTTGAACGATAATCTCTATTTTGGTGTTTTAAGCCAATTTTTTTATACTGGTCTGCGAGTCGATGAACTCTTGAACCCCGCGGGTCAAGACGGACCCAATAAGTGTCCCAGTTGCCGGTTCAGCATAAATTCATATTTTTGGCCAACGTTGCGGCATCCTTTCTGCCACAGTGTTGTAGAAATTTATTTGTGGAAAATTTATAAAAAATTTACTCGTTACCGATCTCCTGGTCCGTCTATCCTCGCTGGGATAGTCTGTCGGACGCGTTTTCACTGTCAAATCTTTAATTTTGTACATTTTCTTGTACAAAATCATATTTTTATTTAACCATTCTTTTTTAGTTTATCCAAGATAGAATTTTTTTTGTTGAATAATTCAGAATATGATCCATGATGTTGATGATGGTGATGAATATCCAACCTGGATTTTTTCTATTGTGTGTCTATCCTTACTACGTTGAGATGCACAACTGTTTTTTTCCTTTTAAAAAATTGTTATAATTAAATGCTGCTCTCATTAAGTGTAACCTTGTTGTGAAATCCAAGTCATAAATAATGTAGTGGCATTGAACGTATTGCCAAATACAATGCAGTCCTGAACTGGATTTTTCGGCATTGATTCCCTCCGCTTAACCAACCAGAACTTATATGTTTAACCCTTCAAACCACGGGCTTAGAAAAAAGTAGCGGGAGATAAACATTTAGAAAGTTACTTCTTGACATAACAAATAATATAGTAGGAAAAGATCCCCTGTTTAATTTGACACATAGTTACTTCAACTCAAGTCTTATCGATGTCAGATGAGGTCGAACGAGAAGAGATTCATGTGTTCTTGATTAGATTAGAATTTTAGCCTTTTGACCTCATGCATTACTTGTTAGTTTTTAAGGATTTACCGCTTGTGAACTGCCAACCAGCATTCTTTCTTAATGTAAATAAATTTAATTATTGATAAACCAGTTGTTTTGACACCGGGTGTACCGGATTCTTCTCTGTTCTCATTTGGCCCGTATGCCAGAATTAGCCGATGTCCGGTTAACGGACACGTCTTCCCAGTTCCCGATTTTCAGTGGGACCGCTTGGTCACGCTAGTTCAGTTTCGAATTTACAAATTGTTTATTGTAGAACGCAATTGTTTACGGTTCGTTACGAAATGATCTAGGCCTTTTTGTTGTTTTACATGAATTACCATTTACATGAATTAAAATTGCCCATTACACAAGTGTTGTAACGAAATATATATCGTAACTATAAATAGGCGGCCCGATTTATCCAGATGAATCTTTAGAAAAAAAAAAAGATTCGCGTAACGCTTTGCTGCTTGCGTAGCGAGAAGAAATGGTAAATATTTGAAGTTCAGTTTAAAATTTATTGGCCCATTGTAAAGTGTGGTTCAATGGAAGTGATTTAAGACAATAGTTAACTGTAGTCTCTCCAGGATCGGTTCCTGTTCGGCCCAAGGACGCGCGGTGGAATCTGCGTTTTATCCTTTGGCACGTGTAGATTTGCATTCAACGACGGCCAGTAAGACGAAAAAATTGATATTCCTGTTTGCCATTTACGCGGTTAAAAAAAAAATCGTAAGAAATGAGCTAAAGTCAGGCATCGACAGAATTATATTCTAAAACAGAGGCATGCGAAAAAGCTGAAACATAAAGCAGAACTATTAAATCTGTGAACTTATAAAACTAGAATGGTTGTCCACTGACTGGACTCTGTTGACTCCGAAGGTGCATGTGTATCTCGGAACATAGAAACTTTCCTGTCAGAGTCAAATCTTGAACGATACAGGGTGTATTAACTTCTATAGTCCATCCATTTAATTCGGAAACTATTAACATTAGCAAAAATGGTCTTACACAAACTTTAGACTAGGAATCTCGTGGTGGTAACGGATTTAACATAACTTTTTCATCTAGCGGGAAAATGGCACTAACTTTTATTTATTTTTTGTTTGTTTTTTTGTTTTAATAATAACCCCATATTTTTATTGCAGAATTCGATTCTAGAGCTTATTTTATGCCACTTTTACTGAAAGGAAAATTTTGATAGGATCGACCATTTCTGAGTTGGTTCGTTGGTTTATTTTGAAAACGATTAGCAACAGTTAATTTAGGAGGAATCAACTCAGATTAGAGTAGGAATCATTGGGTTGCTTTTACGCTTAACTTGTATTAATTTAAAAAAATCTTTTTACAAAAACTTTTTTTTTTATCATCATTAAGTCCATTTTATTTTTAAAGTGACTCTCAGCTGTTATTATGTATTAAAGATTAAAAGATAAAAATTTATATTTATAATAAACGCTCAAATAGGCTCCCTGCCCAAAACGGCACAGTATAAAAACCATCCTTTTTAAATTTAAACTGGGGAGGGCATCTTGTGTTACAAAAAGCACACCCGCTCAAGCATCTTTCATCGGACTTAACTCAGAAATGGTCGAACCTATCAAAATTTTTCTTTCAGTAAAAGTGGCATAAAATAAACTCAAAAATCAAACTGTACAATAAAATAACAAAGTGTCATTTCACATCTCATTTTAGATGAGAAAGTTGTATTAAATCTGTTACCACCACACGATTTCTAGCCAAAATTAACTTGGGTTTTGTGTAAGACCATTTTTTGCTAAAGTTAATCGTTTCCGAATTAAATGGGTGACTAGAAGTTGAGACACCAAGTATACATCCTCACTAGTAAGGCTTTGAGATCTGAATCTTAAGCTTAACGAAGAGCCCTAAACAATAATAGAGACTGCACAATAGACTGGTATTCGTTGCAGTTCACAACTTATCCTAACCTTAACATACAATAAAAATAAAACACTTTTCTCTACAAAAGTTTTAAAGTTTTCGCAGTAGTGAAGGAACTTGCTGATATAGACCCTCCTTGATATAACAGTGTGGTTCAGACTAGTCCCATGGCCAATTTTATGGAGACATGCTGTACACTTGTCATGCTCCATTCAAATTGTGCGGATAACGCTATATTCATCTCTTGCCAAGTTAAGATTTTTAAAGCAAGGCGAGATTATGAGAGGAAGAAGGGTTCTATATCTGCCTTTAATTCAGCCAATTTTTTAAAAGTTTGACCATAAAGTGGATAGGAACGCTGTTTAACCAGAAATTTCTTGGTCATTCGACACAAAATAAAGCATCCTGAATGTTTTCTCCTCTGTAGGTTTAAGTTTTCTTCATTCGTCTCAGATTTTAAAACATCTATAGAAAATCTATCTCTAAAACCTTGGTTAAATGATCAATAAAAATTAATTTTTCTTACTAACCTTTATATCATTTCAGCAAATGATGTAAAGAAAAATTACCAAAGAATTTGAAACATTTGTTCAATTATTTCTGTCTGCCAGAAGAGCTGACCCATGTACACTTGATATATCGACATTTTATCAACTTAATAAAGCTCAGTAAATTGGCCTGATTAATCTTCATTTATCAAATGTTACATCACAAATGATAAAACAATATTAGTCTTGCCAAATCCTTTTGAACGTAAAAGGTTTCGGTTTCTTTTAATATTAATTTAACATTGCTATGTGGTGGGTAAGGGTTATCTCTTCAGAATTATATTTACAGCTGCTGTGGGATAAGAAAAACAAAAGTAAAAATGAAGATTTGACAGATTATTTATATATATTCATCTTGATGGATCAATTATGTAATCACAAATCACAAGAAATTGTATAAAAAATTTATTTACAAATATTTTTCTACATGTTTCAAAACTTACAAATGCTAAATATCTTTTTTTTTTCTTAAAAGAAAACATCTCTACAAAAGACGTCAATGCTTTTATTTGAATTTGAATTGAATCTTATAACAGCAAATACTCATACTCTAAGCTAAGATACTTAATGACTAGGGCTGAAATAAACCATATAATGTTGTATTGTCCTTATGTTTATTTCAATTGTACGTAGAAAAATTTTATTTAGAACTTTAGATGTTTGATTTATCATGAATAATTAATAATAAATAATTATAAAAAGAATTTTCCTTGGGCAATGCCTGTTTTAAAAAAGTATGACCCCCTTGCTTACAATTAATGTTAAATCTTACAATTATTTACAATTACATATTTTAAATAATATTTATGAACAAAAGTTTTCCTTTTGCAAACTATTGATGCTAAATAAAATTACAGATTAAACTCCAATAGTGTCATATGTGCGAGAGTTGAGTATTTATGAAATTTATGTAACCTGTTCAGTCAGTATTGAAAAATTGAGATAAGCCAGGTGTTTTAAAATCTTTAAAACTCATTCCTTACACCCTAGCCCAGCATTCCAGTTACATATTCCACCAATTGGGTCAAAAGACAGGCCTTTTGGGCAGGTGTACTCCCAGCCAAGTAGGTGGCCGTTCTCCATTTTTGCGCAAGATATGAACTTTCTGCAAGAGAAAGGGTGTGGGAAGTTTCCAATGTCGAGACACTCGATGTAGCCGTCATTGTGGATTCTCACTTTCCCCGACAATGGGACGTCAACCGGCTCTGCATAGTAGTCCTCATAGTCATCGTATATAACTGGGTCTGCCACAGGAAGATTGCGAGAAGAATGGGTCGCTTTTGAGAACGGGCGAGGAGAACTTCTCAGGAGACCTCTTGATGGAATGATTATAGGAGTAGTACTCACAGGCCTTACAGTCGGTGGCCTTGTTGGCCTGGTACGGATTTTGTGTGTGACATGCTTTGTAGTTGGCCTTGTTGTAGTAACTTTGTCTTCAAATAAAAACAAAAAATATATTTTAAAAATCATTAAATAACAATTTTTGCTTTTGAGACTTACATTGTTGTGTTGCTTGAGTCGGTGGGGAAGTCGCAAGGGATTGAATGGCAGCAACAGCAACATTAGCAAGATCAGAAATTGGCTCTTCATCTTGACTGTTGATCTCATGGAATGTGATTTCCCCATGCTCATCAGTGATGTGCTCATCTGTGAATGAGCTTTCTGTGGCTTGCTCTTCAATTTGTGTAGTGTGGTACAAAATATCATCGTTGGTCAAGTGTGTACTCGGCTTGAACAATGTCTCTCTGTGATATTGTGTTGTTTTTGCAAAAGTGCCTTTAGGCGCTGAGTTTTCCAACTGTGAGTTCTCCACCACAGATTCAGTCACTGGTTTGACCACTCTTCGGAATTCGGACTTCCTTGGGGCTGCAGTTGATGTTGTCACTTCAAAAAAAGGCAAAAGAAGGCAAAATGAAAAAATTATGTAATAAACTCAGGAATCAAGTTGAAAACAAAGCCAAATATCTTGGAGTTACACTAGAAAAAGCATTGACTTTCTTTCATAGAACATTCACACTACAAAAAAGGTTGTATGTGCATTGATGGTGTGCAGAAGGAAGAAGGTAAAAACTGTGCTTGTAAACCAATATTCCGCTCTGGATGTACACCATGATGGTTAGGCTGATTGTCATGTACAATATACAACAATAATAAAACAAAAAGAACATACAAAAATATAGAAGCTCCCATATATTTGAATCACTGGAGAAATGAGAGTAAACCCATAGGTTGAGAACATATTGTGACCAACCCCTCTACAAAATTAGAACACAAACAGCAAAAATAAAATGAAAAACCTCTCAATCACAGAAGATACTGTTTGATACTTAATGGCATTAATGGATTTAGGAGTATTTGAGTGGGGAGTAGTTGCCAAAAACCAGATGTTCAGAATTTAGGCATATACACCTCCCATATATACATATACACTTCCCTAACCATCTTTCAAGCAGAAATCCTTGAAAATGAGATTACTCAAATCATTTTAAACAGAGTATATAAAAACTAAGACATTAAACTCAAATATTGTTAGGTTGAGAATGGTAGTGAATTTTGAAACCAAAATAAAGAGGTTCTAAGACTGAATATGAGTTAGGAGCTGGTATCTGTGTAAATCATACTAACCTAAGGTATGTCACTGTGGCTATTGAACATGTGCTATGGAGATCAAAAGGCTGGACATTTACAACAAAACAACAGCCATCTACTTGGCCAGCTAAGGCAACTACTTCATCAGTAGCAAAGTTCATACTGGTTTGAGATAACATCAATGGTCCTGTCAGATATCGTGGACAATTACAAAATTACCCTAGTCTTGGTACCAGGGCATTCAGGGCAAAGAGGAAATGAGGAGGCTGATAAATAGGCCAAGGAAATTTCGATGAAGACACATATCAACCACAGGAGGAAGTGCTTTGGAACGTAAAATGTAACTGTAGATGAAATTCAACCACTGAAACCAGGCTCACTGATCAAATTTCTTGATGAATTCAGACTCACCAATTTGCACCAAACAGGGATTCAACATATTTTACCGGCTGCAGTGTATTACACACCCTGACTAATACATCACATCTAAATCTCAGCCCTGAACCCCTTTGTGCCTGCACCAATTTGCCAAAAATCTGGATCCATCAGACAATGGATGATGAATAAAACCTTGGTTCAATAAGAATATATTCCAGGAAAGAGGCATGCAAACAAGTCGCAGAAACTAATGGTAGAACTATTAAACCTAGGAATGAAAAGTTTTGCTGCTTCTAGTCTATACACATACCTCTGGAGTAAGTGTATAGACTAGAAGCAGCAAAACTTTTTCTCTGATGGTGTGAAAATCTATGCAGGTGGAGATTTCTACACCTTGGGAGGAAATTCCAAGCATGAAGGATAGCACATAACAAAGCTTTGGAATCTCATCAAAAGCTTTAACAAAGTGCACTAGATAATAATGGAGACCAATGTTGGCTGTCGTGCTTATGATCATAAAAATGCTGATTTCTTTTAACCTTAACCTTAACCTTAAGGTAAGGTGAACAAAACCAAATTGCTCTGTAGTGGGTCCTGGACAGCAAGAGTAGAGGGGAATGAAGAAGCGGATGTCCTTGCTTGGAAAGTGACTGCTACACACAAATAGGTCTTGAACCCGTTTGTGGTAAATGATCCATCTACAATGTGCATCTCAGGAAGAAGACATGATGAAAATAAGGAAACAATAGAATTCTGGACTGGACACAAACAATCCAAGAAACCTCCTAGTAAAATCTGGAAAGAAATTTCAGAATGCAACAAAGGAAGCTAGAAGAGACTCCTAACAGGATTTTTAACAGGCAGTTTAGAAAGGTTGACATCAACCAACACGCTATATGCAGATTATGTAAAGAGACAGAAGAGACCCACACACCCTGAGGTGGTAGATTTATCCACAGGAGACTCACAATATAATCATAGAACAAATACAACCACTACGACCAGGCATAATAATTCCTCGATGAATTGGGCTCACCAAGGAACTAAAAGTATAGAACAGGGGATAAAATAACTCTCAAAGGACGCAGAACACCCAATCACCCTGAATATTTATCTACGTTTATATTATGGCATGTTTATACCATAATATATGTATTTTTATACAATTCTTAAATGCTACCTCGAGTATTTGGGAAAGATGGCTTATTCTTCTCTGTCTTGAAACGGTTGAGCCTTTGCTTCAATGAATGAATTGTTGAGAACTGCCTAGCAGTGGTTGGTGCTTCTGTTGTTGTCGTTGTGGTCGAACGTGAAGTTGGTCTCCTCTGTAGTGGCCGTCTAGCACGAGAGATCTATAAAAAAATACCCTTTTTAAATTAAAATAACTAAATAATTATTAAACTTTAGTAAATGTTGTTTTTCACAATGCAAATAACTTCAACCTTCACCACAAATCAATGTTTTGACTCCATATAAACAGATAATGTACATTGTAATCATGCTTTTTACAAAAGATATTTTTTTAATGCTATTAATTACAATTAAACAGTCATATTTGTATAGATGATTTACATTGGTATTTGAATAAATGTGTAATTAAATATGAGGGGAATAGACATTAGGGCCTAAAAAAAATATTTAAAAAAAGACAAAAATTACATTAAAGAATTTTTCTGAAGTTCTTAATAATAGGTGTTTATGTTTATTTAAATTCAGGTGTGTTTTTATTGCTTGAATGCTAAAGCTTTTTTATTTACATTGGTAAAAGAGTAATACGTTGGACACATCCAAGTATCCAAATAATTCAACATAATGAATAATTTACTACTGTTAAAATTAAATCTTAATTGACAAACAAAATTCCATGCAAAGGTATATAACATTGATTTTAGAAATTGTTTCCTTGCATTGGTTTTTAAAAATGTGTTAATAGTAGTTGTTTTATTGGGTTTAGCAAGACAATTTCTAAAAACCTTTTAAAATGTTAACACCATGTACTGATAAAGTTAAATTAAATAGTATAAACAGGATGAAAACACAGAAGAAAACGAAAATAGATACATATATTACATGCTACAATATAAACAGTTTAATTTTATATTAATATAAATGAAAATAACATAAAAGGCTTAGGTCACAAGTTCAAGTTAAACATTTTTTAATGTATCTTCCAGAGCATTCTATATGCCTTTTATAGATACGTCATTGTACATGCCACCAGAGTTTTGTACTGGCTGTTAAAACATTAGAGAGAAGAAGCCACAAAGAGTGCCATGCTGAGTCGAGAATTAATGCACATTAAAGACTTTGCATTTCTTTTTATTAATGGAATCATTACACTGTGATGTAGGAAGGTCTGTTAGGAACACTATCAGAATGTATGCCGTATAATGTACCTGTGGTCCAAACACCATAAGTGTTGAAACACACTGACATGCTTGTAGCATTTTAGACATAAAAACAAGTTTTATTATTTGTATTAAATCAAACAAGCGGATGATAACACATGTTATGATGCATTCATGCTGATGTTAATTATGGATGATCTACCGTACCTCTTTTTCCCCTTTTATTGTTTCATCGTCATCGTTGAAGTAATTATCTACTTCTTCTTGTGCTAACGAGTCCCATATTTTAAGAGCTCCCCTTATTTTTGTGTTGTCATTGTTGTCGTACAAATCTTCTTGACTTCCTGGTATCCCGGACTCTCCAACTGCCAAATCCTTTATGGTTTTCTTTAAAACCACTCTTCTCACTTTTCCTTTGTGCTTTGTCAGATACTGAGATGTGGGGTGTGTGATATTTTGTTTTTGACTAGATTGATTCAGTTTCGCTGAAGTAGCTTCAGTACTGATGTCCTCGGTAAACTTTTTCCTTCCTCTGACAATTACTCTTCTGTGATTAGGTGTGCCTTCTGAGTTTGTTCGTACAAATTCCCTTCTTTTTGGCAATTCTTCATAGCTATTTGCCCCAGAAAATTTAGTTTTACCTCTTGAGACTCTTTGTGGGCTTGCCGGTGGATCAATAGAATTTTTAGTGGAATTTTCTTTAAATTGTATACTCTTTCCAGTTTCTGGTTTTCTTCTTCGGATTACAACTCTTGCATTGTCATGAAGTTTGTTCCTTAATGCCGGATTTACAAATGTTTTCTCATGTGAAATCTTCGGAGTTTCAATTTTTTTATGTAAATTATTTTTAAACACATCCCCAGAAGACTCAGTTCCTGATGACAATGAGTCATTATGATTTTCATGGTGTTTTGTTTTTCTCAAAATTATTTTTGTTCTATTTCGTGGGCGAATAAGCTGAGGCTTTTCTGTAATGTCAAGTTTTAACAAGACATCATTTGAACTGGTCTCTTGATCTATTTTAGATTCATTTTCAGCTTTTTCTCTATGTAAAATTGTGGTAAACTGAATTATATTTTGTTCTGTAGAAGGCTGAATTGTTGTAGTATCTTTTTCATTTTCATTTTGAGAAATTGTGTTTGTACTTGTGGTTGCAGTTGTTACGTTAAGATCTGCTTTGGTCAATAAACTTTCCATAGGGGTTGTAGTAGTAAGAGTATTAGGAGTTGTGCTATTTAATTCATACTGAAAGGTGGTTGAAAGACTAGAATGCTTATAAATAGGGTATGGTGAAACATCATCACTAGAGGTAGTTTTATTATTTGCTTGTTCACTAGCCCGAGTTGTGTTAAAAGCGTTTTCAATCTTTGTAGATGGTTTGAAGAAAGGTCTTCTTATAACATTGCTTTCTCTAGAAAATTCTCTTGATAAAAGACCTTCTTCTTCTTCATCTCTTTCGGTTGTTGAACTTTTTTGTGTTGTTCTTCTAATATTAAAATATCTATTTTTGCTTCTTGTGAATTGTTTAGTTGTTTGACTAGATTCTGTTGTGGGTAGTTGGTCAAGAGTTGATTTTTCTGTGGAGCTATCATTTCGAAACCTAAATCTTTGCCGTGGTGAAAATCTGTTCACTGGCTTTTCTTCTTCCTGAGATGCTTCAGTTGTTGATCTAAAACGATTTCTACTTAGAGTAAAACCCCTGCTTCTTTTTGTGACTTCTGAAGGTTCAGTGGTTGTAGAACTTGAAGTTCGGTACTTATTCCTTCTTATAGCTATATAAGCTGGTGTTGTTCTTACTGTTGTTGTGAATATAATCTCTGGCCTTTTCTTTTGAAAACTATTTAAAATAGGCCTTCTCGAATATGGTTCTTCAGTTGTTTCAGCCTGATAAGGCTTTGTAACTGTCTCAATTAGATTTTCTGAGTCTTTGAGAAGTTGTTGAAGTTTGTGTAGAGGCACTCTTTGTCGCTGTGTTGCTCCTTCAACAACATGAGTCACAACTCTGGTGGATGTAAGAACACCAGGGGTTGTCGTTAACACATCACTCACCTTTATTCTGGGCCTGGGTGTTGTTGTTGTTTCAACTAATTCTTCAGTGCTTTCTTCCTCTTCATTCAACTCATTTTCAGTAGTGCTTTCATTTTCATGCCGATTCCTATGCCTCTGGAGAGTTACATACCTGGAACATTTTATAAATGGAGTATTTTCGTATGAGTTGTATAGTTTTTTAAAACAATTTGTGTTACCTTGAAGTTGTTGCTGTTGTGTCAGCTAATGGAGTAGATCTGCTTCTGAAAATGTTTGAGTATCTCAGTGTTGTTGAACGATCTGAGCTGCGGCTTTCATCCTGAGTTTGCCTGTCTTGTGATTTTGACCGGAACCTGTCGGCAGGCTGGTATTTTGGTCTTGGTCGCTCCACTGGCTTCTCGATTTCAAGTCCTTCAGTCTGGCTGCCCCTGGCTCTGTATTGTGGTCTTTCCTCTTCAACCTCTTCTTCATAATCTTCAGAATCTAAACTTTCAGTTGTAGACGTGCTTGGTCTAAAGGAAAATTAAATATTTTGTTTTTTAATGCTTTTGTAATAATAATAATAATAATAAGAGTTAAATTAAAACGCCCTTAAAAATTAATAATAATATTGGGTTGTCCGGAAAATAATGCAGGATTTTGGTATTAAACAAAAAAAAAGAAACTAGTTACTTTAAAGCAATGTTCTTTAATCAAAATAATTTNTGACATTCATACAAATGAGTAATCCTGTAAACGTAAACAGAATATTTTATATAGATTTTTTTTAATGAAAACTTAAAATCCTGCATTATTTTCCGGACAACCCAATAATAAGAGTTAAATTAAAACGCCCTTAAAAATTAATAATAATAATAAGAGTTAAATTCAAAATAGTACCTCTCCCGGCGAATAGTAACATATTTGGGTTTTTCTTTTCTTGATGACGATCGGCCGGTTTCTCGTGGTAAGCCTTCATTTTGAGGCCCTGACGGACCATTGCGTTGAAATGGTTGATACCTTGAAATATATTAATATGCATTTTACTCATAATGTCTACTTATGCTGAGGTGTCCAAGGCCATGAACCTGTCACTCGATCATTTCTCATTCTTGTGAACTGCCTTTTGTTGCTAGTTTTGTCTGTCAGATGCATTTTAGAAATTAGCCATATGAAGTCTGTTATTCTTATTAAAGTGTGAGTGCTAAAACTGGCAAAATAGCACAAAGACCATGGTTGATTGAAAAATTCCGAATCGGATCTAACAGACAAAACCTGCAAGAATGGGCAGTTCATGAGAATCAGAGATGACCAAGTTACGTGTCCAGTGGCTACATTTAACATAATGAAACACAAGAATTACTTAGTTGGCCTGCTTATGACACGATTGTAAAGACTTTTGCTTATGGAAGGGGTTGTTGAATCAATTTCCGTGCCTGAACTTCCACCTTCAAGCTGCTTTTCCAATTCAGCAACTCCTCCTAGTAAATACATCAAAAATATATTAATAAACTACAGTGTTTTCTTAAATTTATCTAATTTGTACCTAGTTTTTTGATCAATGTAATTAATTGTTTGATTGTCTGTGGGTCCTCTTCATCCTTCTCATCGAAATAATCTTCCTCTTCTTCTTCTGGTGGAGCTTCAGTTGTTGTGGTTGTAGTTGTGGTGGTTGTCCTGGTAGTAGTCTTGCTATTTGACTGTGAGGCAGATGTAGCTTTTGTTGATTCTGTTGTTGTGGTCGTAACTGATTTTTTCTTGCAAGGAACGTTTCTAGCAAAATCACAAGAATCTGCCGCTTTGTTGAAAAACAACCCTAAAATGATATGTTTAAATATATTTGCCCTTGTGATATTTAATCAAACAGTTCCAACCTGAAGGGCAAGTAAATTGGTGAGCGACAATTCCGAGGTTGGATGGCCCACTGTCCAAACACCAAAAGTATTTCTTGCAATCTCTTGGATGTGGGAAAAAACCTTCGTCCTTGCAGACAAAATCTATAACAATGAAAATATTCACTCTAATGACTTCTATCAACTGAATTTTTTGAAAAATTGATGTAAAAATAAACGCGTACCACTTCCTGGGTCAGGTGTTGTTGGTGGATCAGGTGTGGTGACAGTCGGAGTTTGTGTTGGTGGAGATGTGGTTGTCCGAGGAGTCTTTGATTTACCAGTTTTGAGAGAAGATTTCCCACGAGGTGCAGAGGGAAGTTTATTGCTGTTCACTAACTTGCCAATGAGTGCTTCTTTAGCCGCTTCAATAAGTGGATACGGTCTAGAAGAGCATTTTCCCCTGAAGTCATCATTGTCAATTGACCAAAACATGATGCCTCCAAGATTTTTTTCATTGACATATTGTGCCTATAAAATTAGATTTTTTAAATAAATTTTGTGTAAAGATATTACATTGAGAATAAATAAATTCTTTTACTTTTTTTTTAACAATAGCCTCGTCATCATATCCAACCCACTGGTTTCCTTTGTAAGCGTAAGGTCCCATTGCAGATTCCTTCGGTTGTTTAACTGTCCATCCATTTTTAACATTTGCGCATATCTGTTCAAATAGTAAAAAAATTTCATAGTGGTATCAATATTAAATTTAGTAACATGTGATTACCTCGTAGTATGCAAGATATCCCTTTTCCCTGGTGGCGTCTCCTTGCTCACCAGGTCCATCTGAAGGAGAACCAATGTCGGTCGAGTCTTCATTGAACAGTGTGTATGATCTACCGTATGTTGGTATACCCAAAACTAATTTATTTGCATCAGCTCCTTTCAAAAGGTAGTGTTTCACAGTAGCATCCTAAAATTATAGTAAACAACTCATTATCTGTCCAAATGAAATATTTTTGATATTATTAAATATTATTCAAATGGTGACTTACAATACGTATTGTTTAGTTAACTTTAAAAATTATTTAAAATATTAATTGTAAATATGGTAATTTTATTTTTACTTACAATTGACAGCTGCGAATCAAAATTGTATTCTCCTTCTTCTTCAAGCGAGTATAATGGAGAATGATGATTAATCGAAGGTTCAAATGCTGAATGGTAATCATATGATAGAATATTCATGAAGTCAAGATATCTGAAAATTAAATTAATTACAACCTGGTTCATACTTATTTAAAGACTTAACATACCTGTTCAATTTTGGTATGTCGTATCCTTTGTCGATATACTCTAAGCCGGCAGGTACTGCCATTGTGAGCAAAAGCCTCGGTCTTCCAGTTTTGGAGGACTCCCTTTCAAATTCTTCTCTTAGTTCCTAAACCGATAAGAAATTAGTAAAATATAACTTCCAATAGAATTTTTAGATTATTAATTCTTGCCTGTACTAATTGAGCATAGTTATCTTTGTCCCTCGGCTTTCCACCGTCTCTGAAAGCCGGATACTCCCAGTCCAGGTCAAGCCCATCAAAGTGGTTCACTCGTAAGAACTTTACGACGTTTTTGACGAACTCTTTTCTCCTATCTTCGTCAGCAACCAGTGGCGAGAATCTGGCAGAGCCCTCGTTCCATCCCCCGATGGCCAGCATTGTCTTCAGGGCCTTGTTGTACGTCTTGAGCCCCGTGAATTTGGCATACCCACCCTGCTCAATGTCTTGATATTTGTCGTACGGCCTAAGACCATTTTCTCGGTCTAAGCCACCAAATGCATAAATCAAATGGGTGCATAGGTAAGGGTTTATGTTCTGGGGGTTGAACTTCGCTGTTCCAGGTCTGTAGACGCTCCAGTTTGTGTAATAACAAACGACCCTTCTCTCCTGTTTAGTATCTCGCTTTTCAATCTCATCTATAAAGCCAAGTGACAAAAATTATGACAAACTATAGTTGGTTTAAATGTTTAGCTGCAGTTTTTTTATTTAATAAGGGTAGAAACTTTAATTTTTTGAAAAATAAACTTACGTTGGTATGATGAGGAGATGGCGAATATGACCAAGACCGCCTGTGAAAGACGCATCTGAAAATAAAAAAGTATACACTAAACGTTTGTTTTATGGATCATAAGTAAAGTTTACCGAAAAACATGATAGTCAAGTTTAAATTTTTAATGTGAATAAAAATTTACATTCCATGCTAAGGGAAAGGGTTTCTACAACAAATTCTTGATTTTTTTTACACTCTTTTAGCGTTATTTTTTTAAGCAATTCTTTAATAATATTTGTACGAGGTATTAAAGTTGTTTTTTGTTATTTGGCTGATATTTGAGAAGCTTTTGTAAATGTCAAACGCCCATCCTGTTGTAACATTTAATTTTTGCCGTTCGGTACAGCGAGACTAAGCGGGCCAGGAATCTTCTGACAAATGAAAAACAGCGGCTCAACAAAAGTTTTGACAATTTTAGACTGCTTTAGATTTTGCAGCTTTAAGCCAAAGTTGGCATGAAACTGGAGTGAAAAAATAGAACGATCTAACCAGTCAAGCTCCATATTTGGATCCATTCCAAAACACGCAGACCAAGGCAAACTCAGGATTCACTTCGCCTGTGGCTTTCACCCAAGATCCCGGGTAGGATCAAAGGTATCCAAATACTCCGTTGTGGCTTCCTCTTTCCGGTTTGACGACGGGCAAATAGTTGTAATTTGGCCTCCCTCTGCTGTTTCCTCTCCCAGTCATTTGGACGCCTTTTCGTAAGGGAAAGTGCGTGCGTATTTACATGTTCCATCCTTTTGACACTCGAATTGATGGTTGGTAAGTCTTTTTACGACTTTCTAACAGCTTCGCTCCTTCAAAATGGAAACAAATTATCACCAAGCCATATCCAATGTCTACCAGCTTACCAAATCCGCAGTGAATGCTAATGGCTTTGAAATAATTCAGTCACGTATAGGACGTAGGAAAATAATAAATAAGCCACCTAAATAACATGAAAAGATATCCAACAAGAAGAAGGAAATATCAACTATAATTATGTTACATTTGATTCCTGAAGAAAAGAAGATTTGTCTTTCACAGTTATTTCTTACAGAAGAAATGATATTTTACTACTAAGGAAAATCTAAATCTATTTTCAACCACTTAGTTCAATACTGACTAGAAAATACTAAAACTATGTCAACTTTGTTTTGATAACTCCAATACAAAAACATCGTTGCATGGCTTAATTGTATCTTTTTACACAAAAGTTTGAAGGCAATAACATTTTTGGTTTCTTAAAGTGGACTTTTACTTAACTATACCGAAATGTAATCGAATAATTTTGTTTCATACAAGTATCTTCCATTATGTAGCGTTGATTTATGTGTCTCTCCTACAACCGAATTAATTTGTAAGTTCCTCTAGAAGGACAAAAACCCTTTAAACCATTATAGGTAAATTTTAAACTGTAAACAATACAGTTGAATCATTGATTATAAATAAATTAGAAGGATATTGAAGAATATGCTTTAGGTGGGTTATCACGATGGCATTTCACATCTTGAACGATTTGCGAAAATTTTGACCATAGATCAATGAAAAAAATCCAATAATTTTGCAAGACAATCTAATTTTTTGATTAATAAATGAAACTAACAACAATATTTTTTGACCCAGCCTAAAACAGTAGAAATTTAGGTGGGTATCTTGTTTTAGGTTACCTTTTGCGTTTATCGAGAGTGATTGTATTTATTAGAGTGAATGTGTAGTCCGAGACGATGGTGGGATATTGAATACTCCAATAAGAATAATTATAAACGTATATATTATTAAATACATTAGATTTCGTGGTCCGATTGACCAAATAACTTTTTTCAATTAATTAATCTTTATGTAAGGTATTGGGTGAAATGAAAACGCTCATGTCACCAGGGGGATTCGAAACCACGACCTTCGGCTAAATACGCAGCTGTTCGTGACTTCGATCCACTCGGACACCAACTTCCCATCTCATTTTTATCTCAACCAATACCTTACATAAAGATTAATTAATTGAAAAAAGTTTTTTGGTCAATCGGACCACGAAATCTAATGGATTTAATAAGAAAAGTGAAGTATATCTTCTCTAAAGCTCTCCGTGGCCATTTCATTTGTCGCCGAGAATCGAATAGGTTAGACGACATTTCAAATGTCAAAAAGGAGGGACAATTCAAAAGGTGGGTTGAGATGGGAAGTTAGTGTCCGAATGGATTGAGGTCACGATAGCTCAAGTGGTAGAGCAGCGGCGTATCTAGCCGAAGATCGTGGGTTCGAATCCCGCTCGTGACACTGACTTTTTTATCTCAACCAATACCTTGCATGAAGATTAATTACATGAAAAAACTTATATATTATGTTTAAAGGATGATGGAGGAATATCGAGAAATCCGCCATACTACTTAGTAGATATCCCATTTTGTGTTTTCTTTTGTATATAGAATAGATGTATTTATTAGAGTGAATGTATAGACTGAGGTGATGGTGGGATTTGAATACCCCCATCGAACCGCAATTACATTAGTTATACATTTACATTGTACGAGTAAACTAGTGTAATGATGGAGGAATATCGTACTTGAGTGAAAGGTATTAAAAAGGAAAGAATGTATGTAAAAATGGACGTGTGCCTAAAACTGCATTCGTTGTGCGCTGGAATTGCTCAGTTGTCGACAACCCTGGAGCCCTTCTGCAGTTACGGATATGAAAAAGGTATGACCTCGGAAAACACCAAAGTGGGTTTTGCCATATGCTCAATTCTGTTTATAATGAGTGTAGTATGTACCTATCACAAACACCAGCATAGTTGCTGGCTGAGTGGTACAGTGTTACCTGATTACACGTATTTCTAAATAGGCTCAAAATAAATGAGCTAAACCATGTTTTCATTAAAAATGTATAACTATCCTACAGTTTAATGTAATTATGTCAGGATAATATAAAACAGAAAGGCAAAATCGTTTTGGATTGGGAAAACGCGCAGATCATGATGATCAGTTGGAACTATAATATCGGATAATTGTTCATCGTCGTGCGGATTGAACTACAGACCCATATCCCACGATATGATCCATTAGGGTGCGTTTCAGCCATTGTGCTCTTGGATCTGTGGCAAACGTTTTCCCATCGACGTTTATCCGTACAATTCACCGTAGGCCCGCGGATATCGTGGGTACAGCGAAAACCGACAAAGCCAATTAAGGTCAATTATAGCACTTTCACGTCGGCCTTTTCGCAACCATGAACGATTAATAATCAGTTTTAAATTAGACGGGATAATCCCTACGAGGAAATTATCAACGCATTTATAATCGCCGTTGTTTACGGTAGAAAATAATCAACAGTTTATCTTCTTGGTTTTGTTCATCTTGACCTTCTCCGTCGCCTTTATTTTATTAATGGGTTGAATACAATTTTTGATTTGTTACATTGATTTTTAAGATTAGCTGTTTTTAATATATTTACTAAAATTGAAATAAGAAAACAAAGTTTTGATGTTGGAAGCTTTAACCAAGGAGAAATGTAGGGTAAAACCATCTTACTGGACAGCACAAAGCTGGTTTGAAATAGTCTAATTAGATTACAAGCAGTTTGGATATCTATTTTGCAATCCATCCCCGTCTCTTCATGACCAGATCTCAATTTCGTAATTTACATTCCAGTTTTCTGCAGTGTGCGATCACTCCCAGGTAGAAAAACGAGAAAAACGTGTTTGGTACCGAGTAGTGTTATGGTCAAATTGTGCAACCTAGTGACCACCATGGTGTTAGTTGATTATCCGGGTATAATTACTTCAATGCTAGTTAAAAGATGCAAGCTATGGACAACAAAAGTGACTGTAATTCTTTCTAAACGGGCTCGGAAAAATTTGAAGCCAAGAAATCAACTGTTTGAAATGGTATTACGCAGTCTTAATTCTTAAAGGATTGAAAAAGGCGGTATCCTGTATACCGGCGGTCTGGGTTTCACTTTGTATATCACAACCGTGTTTTTTTCATACTTTTATTGTTACAATAAACAAGGCCACCGCGTCGAACCTTTTCACATCGAAATGAAATTGTTTACGATTTGTTTCGTTTTGGCTTACGGAATGTTATCAATGTTTCCGTTTTTTTTTCGCACTATAACTACCGTATCGACCTTTCAGTCTGGAAAGAGAGAAAAACAAATGCAAATACTGAAACAAGATCTTGTTTGTTCGAATCGAAACCGCAAGGAGGGTCTGATCAGAAACGTGTTTCGAAGGACGTGAGACACTCCTTAGACACTTGACATTGGCGTAATTGAGATGCGGGATATCGTGATCATCATCTCGGTGGTCTTGAAAGTGAAAACGACTTCCTTCGGCAAAGTAATGACGGGGAGAACATTGCCCTCAACAGGAAAAACTGCATGTCCTAGAAAGTTTGTCGTGTTTATTTTGATGTTCGTTTTGTCCTTATGTTTGTCCTTATACAATTAAAAAGGTGAAGGGCTTGAGGGAGTATAAAACTAATTTTGTCCTGAAAAGATTAATTCCAGTCATTATAATCATGACATAAAAGATTAACATCTCACGTGATAGTCTAACTTCCTATTCCGAGCTTTTTTAGGAAAGGTTTTTTTTAAAAAGAACTCGCTATCCTCGCCAAATTCGGCTTCGGCCTCAAAATTATAATTTACCGATGTACCGATGCCCTCTTTAAATTCCAAGTCATCGTCGTTTTGTTCTTGCTTAGTAATTTCTTGGGCCATGAGAAGTGTAAGATTTTTTAATCGAAAACACAAGGCGACAAAAAAAAGCGAAAAGATTCAAAATGGAATGAAAATACACATCTCATCAAATGACCTTGATTCAACTTATGCGTAATACATACGTCCAGAGATTTTGACGATGGACTAAAATATATGAGTTGTGTAACATTCAAGCTTTCTCATCTAATAACTCAAAGACAAAAACCGGACACTTGTATTTATTTGTTTATTTTCCCTAATAACAAGGTATAAAGATTAATAGTAGACTTACAATTAATGAAAAATGGGAAAAGAGGAAAAATTCGAAAGGTTGTAGGTTTGCGATGGGGAGTT